ACTGATGGTGAATGTTGAATAAAAATATTTTTATTACGTTAAGACAAAAATGCAACTTTTTAATATGTCAAAATAGGAGAAAGCTTAAGTAACAGCACATGTAAATAAGCAGTTGAACCTAAAACAAACAGTACATTCTAAATCATTAAAGAAAATAATACAATAATAAACTTACACATAAATTATGTGATTAACGTTATACAATCTTATTTATTGCAACAACTTAAACTGTTATGGCACTTTGAATTACACAAGAGTCCCTTGCTTTTGCAACTGCATTTATTCATGGAACACTTCTTTTTGCAATGACAGCGTGTATAGCCTTGCCCTCCACTTTTCGAATTAGCTGCAGCTGCTTCTCTCAGTGATATTTCTTACTTACACTTAACCTTATTTACAATGAGCATTATTTACCTTATTAATAACAAATAACCTTAAATATGAGAAAAGATAAATCAATTTCACACATTCTATAATCTTAATTTTATTACTAATTGATAATAATAGTTATAAGAAAAAGTTGTTAAAAAGTTTTCAGTATTTAACAGATGCATCTGTTATTGCTAGTTCTTAGAGAATATTTCAGTATTACAAGTACAGTGGGTGCTCGGTTAACGAACAAATTGGATAACGAACACTTTCGTGAAAGATTTTTATGATCAGACAATGAACACATGATCAGATAACGAACACTTCACTGAACAAACATAAAAAGAAGTGATGGAAATAGCAAATACTGTTTGGTTTTCCTTTGTCTTCAAGTAACTTTTTGGAGCGTGGGAGACGTCAACGTCGTCGCTCAACCCGATATATACCAATCAGATAATATTCCTCGAATTTTGAAATACTCCCTTGTAATTCCAGTCTTTTATTTTTCTGACAAACAATTCTTTTATAGTATTCGCAACACTGTCATGTAGGCACTCCTTAAGTTTTGCGTCAATTTTTATTTTCGAAAGGTGAGAGAATAATAGCAAAGGTAGAGAGTGGGCAGAAGATGTCTGATGTTACTGGGCAGTATGACTTGAACAAATCTACAGTAGGGCTCAGTTCAATCTTATCTAAGAAAGATACAGTATAATTAAGGAAACTCAGGCAGCTAAAGGAGTAACAAATATCACATCTGAGAAATAAAGAACATTGAAGAGCTCATAATGGAACCTGAAACAGATCTGACAACAGAAGAACTCCAAGAACTCTTGAATGAAGAGTACCAAGAAATTCAGCGAGATATGCTTTATTGTGAAAAGGAGGATTAATGCCGATATCTGCTATTAATTAAAGATCTTTTGAAGAAGTGGGGAATGTCAGATCAATGGTCTTAGAATGGCATACAAACCAGGTTAAAATTAATAGGCTNTAGACTTCGGAAAGCTAAATGCTTGTAATGAAAGTCACTTAGCGTGCACAGGCGAAAGCCTAGGGCCGTTCGGGCTATCAAGCTGTCTCGAATCTGTGAAATCATAACTGTGACTTATATCGACGTCCTATCTGTCTCTTTTCTCCGTTATCACCAGGCTGAGTCATGTAATTCTAAAATGGGAACTCTACCACGGAAAAGTGACGAATCGAAAGTATCGTGAGCGAGTATTATGATGTATGCACAGGCATACATGGATTAGAGAGATAGAGGAAAGAGAAAGGGAAGAGCAAAGACGAGCGCTTAAAAAGAAGGATAGGAAGGATCAGACCCTCGGGTGTGCGACGATTCTCGAACGAATAGATGTGTACGTGTGCTGATATTTGTAATTATAAATTGTGAATACATGTGACTAATATTATTTTTTTTATTTATTTTGTGCATGTTACAAGTTATAAATAAATATAAACAAACAACACTAACTCGATAACATTAAATCTAAATACCAAAATGATTAATTTACTGTGTTTTTGTTATTTATTACTCCTGTTTTTAGGTATTCGGTATTCGGCCGAATAGTGAAAAATAGGCCGAATACCGAATAGTAACCGAATATTCGTTACATCACTAATGTTTATTATTAGAAAATCATCATCAGTTAAATCTTCAATATATCAAAAAATTCCTATCACAAAATGTTATATGATTAAAATAGCCATTGTATAATAAACATAACTTTTTACTTCTTTCATAATTCATAGCCAAGAAGACAATTTGCTGTTAATTGTTTTGTTTATGAATCATAGATACCTAAAAAAGTATTATAGATTTAAGTCAAATAAAGAAATTTATTTGTAAGTCATTTTATCAATTGATTGCAAATTTGTTTTTAATAATGACACTCACAAAGAGATTAACTCCAAACAAATTCTTATATTAATATTAGTAAAAACTAATAAGTAGTTTCTATTTTAGAAATTTAAAGCTTAGATATAAGATTAATGAGTCTAACTGTTTATTCTGTATAATTGCACAGATATTTTTATCACATTGTGTCATGGCTGCATTAATAAGCATCCACAATGTGTTGTGGCATTTTCTCAATGCTAGATTATATTTTGGTTGATTATTGAAAGAATATTGACACAAATTTAGCTTTGTAGCCTTATTTGAATATGCCAAAATGCATTGTGCACATTTTTGAAAATGCAATGACAAAATTTATGTTGTTTCTGAATCTAAGAAATTAAAACATGTGGTTGATGTTTTCAATCTTTGAGCCTAACATATATATTGATACATTTTATTAGTTCTTTCTGGACTAATAAAAACTAAAATTTTAAATAGTTATTGTTTTGAATGGAATTTTTCCAAATTTTCTACAAATACAGTGGTACCTCAGGTTACGAACGCCCCAGCATACGAAATTTTCAGGATACGACTTGAAATTCGAACATATTTTTGCTCCACAATACGAACAAAAACTCACCATACGATGTTACATTAGTTCGCATTTTTCGTTTGTTTTTCTTACTACAGTTATTTTTTTAATGTATTACTTGACTTTAATTTGAGTATGTTTTTTGCGTTGGAACGAATTATTTGGTTTTACATGTAATCGTATGGGAAAAGATGATCCACCTTACGACATTTTCATGATACGATCTCAGTTTCAGAACGAATTAATTTCGTATCCTGAGGTACCACTGTATAATATATATTTTATATTCATAAAACAATTTATTATTAGTATAATGTTATCTTTATGATTATGATAATAATAAAATATTATTAACAAATTTGTAATTTTGATATTAAATGTTAATTAAATCGTTTTTAATTTAATTTATGTTTAATGTTAATATATACTAATGTAAATAATTATTTTTAGGTATTGATGTATGTTTAACTTTAAGCAAGTATCCACCAAAGACACAAATAAAATGTTCTCCTTTTCCAAAGGTAAAGACATTGTTAGCATTAATGAAACAAGATGATTAAAATTTTAAATGATTTTATGTATAAAGAATTTAATATTTCTTTATGATTTCAGAAGTGTCAAGTCTCTGTAGCAAATAAAGCCCATTGTTTATTATTAAATTATTCAAATTCTTTAGAAATGTGGCAGTTGGGCCATACAAACAGTAATTCTGGTAAATTTTTATTTATTTATGTTGTTTTGGATAAACTATATTTTTATTTAATTATATTGTTCACTTACAGGAAATAATGGTGAAATATTACCTCTGGTATCAAGAGAGAAAAAAATCTTGCAATTAAATTGTAAAAACAATGAAACCATAATTTGTTGTTGTTTATCAGATGATGGAAGATGGTTAGCATATTCCACAAAAGAGAAATTGAAATTGTATCATTTTTCTCTGGTAAGTATTATCTTACTCTTTTGATTAAAAATGAATTCACAATGCAAAAATTATATATATAAATTTTGAAATGTTCATATTTAGTTTTGAAGTTTCAGAATACACATACAGTAGAATCTGTATATTGTAATCATGATATTGTTATGAGTCATCCAATATTATCAAAATATCTTGTCTCAAACATCAGTTAAAATAGATTTAAAATTGTTTATTCTATTCAGTGTTTTAACTGGTGATTATTATTATTATTATTATTTTTAGAATAATAGGCATGTCTTTTGGTGCTACATGTTATTATTTATTATCAATTTTAATTATTGTTTTATTATTAATATTTATAAATGTTAATTGTTTTTATTATTAATTTATAAAATATTACTTGTCATACAGTGATTTAAATTGCTGGCATTTCTCAGTTACATTAGGTTGTTGCAAATAAAATGGCCGATTTTTACTTCTGACTTTGAACATTTATTAATTTAACTTAAAACTACATATTCAATCAAAATAGTCTTCACCAGCATTAATACACTTTTCTCACTGCAATATAAATGCATTAATGTCAATTTGATAGGAATCACAAGAATGAGAAGCCAAAAAATTATTAAAGATACTTTTTTATTGCATCCTCTTCCTTGAAGACTTTCCTTACCAAAAAACTGTCCAAATGTATAGAATAGGTGATAATCTAGAGCAGTTTTCCGCAATCGGTGTGTCGTCACAAGGTGAAAGGTGTGATGTGAACTTTTACATATTCTATTAATCTCAAGTTTTATTTATATATTTTTATCACAGTTGTTATGTTTATTATGCTTGTATTTCATTCACTGATGAAATAAGATGATGTTAAAGCAATAAACACATATGTTGTCCCAGTACTTACTTATTCTTTTGGAGTTATACATTGGACTCACACAGATCTTGAGCAACTCCAAATGAAAACAAGAACACTTACTAAGCATAAACAACATTGGACTCACACAGATCTTGAGCAACTCCAAATGAAAACAAGAACACTTACTAAGCATAAACAACTGTCATCCTAAATCTGCATAGAAAGATTAACCCTTCCACATAAAGATGGCGGATGTGGCCTGATTGACATAGTTAACCTCCACTACAAACAAATACAGACATTACGAGAGTTTTTCTACTAAAAACAAGAAACATTACAGTTGCATAAAGCAGTAACTCTAGCAGACTCAAATAATACACCATTAAATTTACATTCACAACGTATGGACACGATACAACATATAAATAGCATAGACATCCGTTAAGCAATTGTAGGAAGAGCTTACACGGCTAGCATCTCCATATCAACCGAAATAAGAAGAAAAAGAGGGAAGGAGAAACAATCGTGGGCTCAAAAGGCACTCCATGGCAGACATCCTTACAACCTGACCCAGCATTTTGTTAACAAAACTGCATCAAATAGCTGGTTAGCTCGGGGAGATGGAAGGATTCATGATTGCCATACAGGATCAGGTCATAAATACTAAAAACTACAGAAAACACATACTGAAAGATAACAACACTCACAAATGACACATGCGGAAAATATCACATCATGCCAGAAACCATACAACACATCACTTCTGGTTGCAAGCTCTTGGCACAGACAGATAATTTACATAAACATAATGAAGTAGCAAATACATCAAGAGCTTGCAAAGAAACATCAAATTATTAAACATCCACGAACCATACTACAACTACATTCCACAGACAGTATTGGAAAACAATGGGCACAAAATGTACGACGACAGCCATAATCACAGATAAAACAATTTACCACCACAATAGTGCTTACCTTATGCCTCATTGACAAACACAATAAAATCACAGAAATTATAGACATATCTGTTCCAAACACTCACAATGTTCAAAACACATGCAGTGAAAAAATCAGCAAGTACACAGAACTCGCCCAGGAAATAAGGCATGTATGGAGGATGGATAGGCTTCTTATTATACCTGTTGTTCTCTCCTCTACAGGTGTCATACCACACACGCTACACATAAGCCTGGGAACATTAAAATTGAATAGAAACACATACATTACACTACAGAAGGCCACTATATTGAATACATATCATATTGTTAGGAAATTCCTGAATACAGACACACACTGACACAGTTATTTAATTTTTGTCTTGTTTTGGTTACTATGCTGTGTCTGGCATAATACACAGCCATCGGTGTCAACCGAGTGTAACTCACAAAACTCAACATAATAATAATAATAATAATAATAGATTTATGGCATTACAAAATTCTACTAATAGTATCATATCATATGTGTTTGAGGGGAATAACATTTTGGTGTGCCGTGTTGAGTCATGTTGAGTCAGAGGTGTGTCGTGAGTAGAAAAAGATTGCGGAACACTGATCTAGAGAATAAGATGAATGGAGAAAAATTTCATTTGAATACTTTCATTTTTGTGATGAATAATTAAAGAACTGCAGACCTGCAAATGATGCTTATAATCAAGTTTGTGTGGTACCCATTTTCAAGCTTCTTGACTTTTCCTAACATGTTTAGATGCCGAGAAGTGATTGAATAATGTACGGTATGTTCAACTTTTCTGTGATTTCCCGGACAATGGGTAATGTTCTAATTTAATGATATTCTTCAATTCTGATTTTTGAGATTTGTATTCCCAGAATGAAATTCTTTGAACCAATGATGGCCTCACTCACAGAATTTTCACTAAAAGTTTTACTAGTATTTTGGGTTGCTTCAGTGCATTATGTCCCTGCTTATACTCTTAAAAGAAAATTATTCAATTTCCTTTTTCCATGCTGTCAGAAGAAGTACTCTTAAACATCAGAAATTCACAATATAAATGAGATTACATTTTTAAATTCACATATATGTGTTCTTTTCCAATTGCAAACATACAGCATTGTTGACATAGAAAAAAGTTGAACTACAAGGCTGGATAGTCTACATTTTAAAAAAACAGCCATTTCATTTGCAATGACCCAATATAATAGATGAAGTATTATTAATTATTGGGTTGTTCGGAAAGTAAGTTCGTTTTTTTCCGTGGAAAAAAATGCAATATTCTTATAATAAATAAATATTTTATTGAATTACAAGTTTACCATTTTGGTCAAATACCTGTTGTCATCGTTTCTGGTAGTAGCACGATTTCACATTCATAAAAGTTTTGATCGTTTCTTACAAAAAACCGATCCAAGTGATTTTTGACATTGTCATTTCAAGTAAATGTCTTACAGTTAAAAAAAAAATTGTATAGACTGGAACAAGTAATAATCTGAGTGTGCTCGATCTGGCGAAAACGGTTGGTGTGATAGCACGTCCCATCTAAGTTATAACAGTTTCTGACGAGTTACCAAACTTGTGTGAAATTTGACATTATTGTGGTAAAACACTACACCTGTTTTTTTTTATCAATTCTGGCTGGCTTTTTCTGTTTGATGATATTACGCAATTTGTTTACTCGAATGCAGTACACTTTCGAATCAATTGTTATATTTTGTGGTAAAAGCTCCAAAAAAAAATTTCCTTAAAATCCGACCAAATAGAGCATTTCTCTTTAAGAACTCGTGGAATTCATATATCGAGCTTTGAAACGAAACCAATTTGTTTCAAGTACTCATAAGTAGTTCAATTTGACAAATTTAATCTCTTAGTGATTTCACGTGTTGTTATTCCGCAGTTTGCTTCAATCGGTACTTTTATTTTGTTTTCATTGGCTTCAACTGGCCATCCAGAATGTGGTGCAACTTCAATAGTGAAATTGCTGGAACGAAATTTTGTAAACCAGTTTTGGCACTGTCATTCTGTCAACACATCTCCACCATACATGTAACACGATTTTTTTCTTGCTTGAACAGCATTTTTATTTTTTTGGTAATAAAAAAGCAAAATATGCCGAAGATGCTGCTTTCAATCTTCCATATTTGATGGGACACAAAAAATAAACAATTGCACGAAATCAAACAAAATTTTTTACAAATAAGCCATAAAATGGTAGTTAGTTGTCAAAATATATAATGATAATACGGTTTAGAACGAAAATGGCGGGAAAAATACCACTAATCCGTCTAGTGGTAAAAAAAAAACGAACTTACTTTCCAAACAACCCAATAATAACAATAACAACATACCAACAAATAATATCCAATAAAAAATTATTTTTGCCTCCATTATTAAAATAGGAGATTTGCATAGAAAAAAATTTTCCCAATTTCAAAAATAGCCTTCAAATTTCCTCTCATACAGCAATCAAAAAATATAGACACAGCTTTGTATAGACTTACAAATCACCTTGCTGCACACATTTCCAACTGTAAAATGTTTCACATACTCTAAACTTCTAGTCTAAGCAAACATTTTCAGCTTCTTTCAAGGCCTGCTTTCAGCTTACATCCATAGACAAAAAAGATGAAAGAAGAAACTAGAGCAAAGAGAGAATTCTGTTTTATTTCCAGATTCCAGATACTAACTACAGTCTTATTTACTTCAGTTATTATTTTCAGTATAGAAGAAGTAGATGGTATTATGCTAAATTTATAATAAAATACCTTAAATGATAATTCTAAGTATTTAGTTTAATTTTTTCTCTTAAAATAACCATAAATGTAGAACATTCTATGGCATTATAATGTTTATTAATCATATATAGTATTTTATGTTTAATTGTGAATGATGAATAAAAATAAACAAATAACTGCTTCTTTAGAGAGTGAAATTCTTTATTCAAGAAGAAACAGTTTCTGCATCAAATTTTTTATTTTTAACTTGTTTTCAGATTAACCAGCATTTTATTTGGAAGTAATTAAAAATAAGTTATTTATGAAATGATGCATTCATTATACATGGTTAATACAAATGAATCATCGAGTTGTAAAATCTTGTAACTTCCAAAGTATTGAGCTAGTTGTTCACATTAGACATAAAACAAAAGAGAAATTCATATGTGAAGATTTCTTTGTGACACACAGGCAGCACAACATTCATTGTCAAA